CAAGGCCGCCCAAGCCACAGTCTCGTTTTGAAGCGCAGCGCCTGGTCTACCACAGGCTGGAGCATCTCAGCGGGACCTTGACCAGGCTCCAGTGTGCGACGGCAGCTGGAGCCACATCCAGCATACTTTCCGCGAGCGTCACCATGCTACGTGACCGTTCTCGAGGTTGTCTTTCCGACCTCGCCACCTCCACGCACGTGTTAGTTGGGGCTCTTCAGACTCATGCTCCAGAGTCGGGTGAGCAGAAGTGGGACACGCGTGCACGAGGATGCGGGCTTGGTCTTTCACCAATCCAGCTAGGCCTAGCGGCCGACACAGGTCGGCGGGCACAGAGGAGAAGGCCAACGAGGGCGGTGAGCTCCCGCTGCCGCGCGGACACCCCCGAGTCGAGGCACTCTCTGAAGCTCGCCCCGCAGCCTATCCACGCACCCCTGGCTCCTCCTCCCTCGACGGCTTCACCGCCGACATCTTGCACTTCGTGGGATGCTCTTTCGTGCTGCGCATGGCGCGCGGCATTGCCCCGCGCGGCATGAGCGGCCGCAACGTCCCCCGCCTCCATCGGATACGCAGCCAACTGCGCAGCCTGCGCCTGCCTTGGACCCGCGCGGGCGACTGGAACATCGACCCGCGCGTTCTCGCCCGCCCAGCAGGTTCCGTGGATCGGCTGCTGGCCAAGCTCATCCTCCCCGACGGGGTCTCGCACGCGCGCGACTCTGGCAGACATGGGGGCACGCTGGACTACGTCCCCGTTAGCGAGACAGCGCTGCCATTCATCGTCAGCTCGCGGCCAGCGCTGGATGCGCCATGGCGGCCGCGCACCAGCGTTTCGCTGGAGGTTCGAAGCAGCGGGCGCCAGCTGCTGACTCGGCGCCTTGCCTGCGCCAGTCGGCTGCCACATCGACCCAGGCGCGCAGCCACGCCGGCGTCCAAAGCGCTTCTTCCCCAGCGTCCGAGAAGGCCTCTTTGCCAGCGGCTTCTCGGCAGGGAGAGGTCCACGCCACGTTTGGGGTCATGTCTCGCCTGCAGGAGTTTCGACGGGCGCCCCGGATTTTGTCCACGCGCTCAACCCGCTCGTGTTTGGCGGAGGGAGGTCCTCTCGGATGGAGAGGGGGGCCCTTGGGCGCGCGAAAGTGATTTTCTCGCGCGCCGAGCGATGTCACAGGAGAAGGAGCGCGTCGTTAGCATCGCCCCCCCCCCCCCCCCCAGAATTGTGGCCAGCCCGCCGGCGCTCCTCTTGCTGGCGATCCGAACAAAGCTGACAGTTCAGGCAATCAAAGTACGCCTCATAGTATACGCCCACACACATTCACACATAACCCCACCAACACCCCACGCGCACACCCCACAGCCAAGGAGCGCGACCCTCGCCTAGGGCCCCCCCTCAGGTCGCGGAGGCCCCTCGGTATTAGGTTGGACAGCCGTTTCACATTCCCCGCGGTGCGTGGATGGAGTGCAGGATGATGAACAAAGGCTGCCAGGCTGGCCCCGTTCCCCAGCACGCAGACGCCCCAGTGGCGTTTCGGCTCGATCCCTCTCGCGTTGGCACTGTCCGCCCCTGGTTCGCACAGTGGGTCAGCACTGTTGAGTCGGCGATGTTGCGTCGCCATCAGGCCCCGACTTGCGACGGACCGAGTCGCGCAGCTGGTTGTTCTTTCGTTGGGGAGGATGCCAACCACAGTGGCAGGCAGCGATCTGCACCATTGAGGGGCCGCATCGCGGGCTGGTGGAAACGCGTTTCATCCGTTCGATTGCAGCTTACAGGCCATACCAATCGTGAGAACGGGGCTCGACAGCAGGCGGGGAACGAGGCTCGAGCCACCCGTCGCATAGGCCAGGACAAAACAGCAGGAGTGGAGGATCTCACTTCCACGGAGGAGCCAGCCATCTCCGAGTAGACGGCCATCCTCCTCAACTCCGAATCCTGCGCTGCGCGTGTTCCGGAATGCTTGCAGCAGTTGGCGCCCAGGGTCGAGGAGAGAGCGCGCAGACGCACGCTTCGCCATTCGCCGAGCTAAGGATCGGATCGGAGACCAAGCTTCACTTGGGAAAGTCTTTCGCTCCATACGCAACGGCCCGCCCCCGCTACAGGATATCCTCGCGGGCCCCTCCGCGGCCGCCCACCCCGAGGAGATCCTCGACGCCGAGAGTTCGCAGTGGAGCCAGGTGTGGGGGCCCGGGGCTTGCGTTCACGAGGTGCCGCAGCGCGCGGTCCACGACGCTCGCCGGGCTGCTCGCGACGGACCGACGGATCATCGCGGGTCTTGCGGTCCAGGAGGGCAGCCCGCAGGATGGTGGCGAGGATTGGCTTGGGCGTGGACAGGCTGGCCCCGCTCGACGTGGAACGTCTCCCACCAGAGGGGCACAACGAGCTGGCTGGGCTATTGAATTTTTGTGAAGCTAGACTCACGTGGCCACAGCAAACTCGACTGGTGGCTGGCGAGTTGCCACCTAAGAAGTCGCGGGGGGCGACCGCGTCATTGGGCTCACGCCGCTGATCGGTCGCCTTTGGTCTTTACTTCGAGAAGAGGAAGTTCGGTCATGGGCCCCGCTGTCGGAGGAGCCTTGGGATGTGGCTGTCTTGGGCAATTCATCGCTGCAGGGGGCGTTCTTCCGCGCCCTTGGCGACGAGGTGGCAGGCCCCCTCGGCGTCAGGACGGCCCGCGGCATGCCGGACTGTCGCGGGTTTTATGATGGCAACGATTGGGCCCCCCCCTTGCAGGCAGCACTGCGCTTGGAGTGCCCCCCAGTGGTGCTGCACATTGAGGTCGCGCAGTGTTTCGCGCCCCGCACCCTCGAGCAGCTCGGCGCGGTGCTCAGTCCGTTCCAGGCGCAAAGGTCCATCATTCAGGGATTGAGAGGGGGCGCGCGTTTTGCGAGGTGCTTGACTCATTGCATTATGTATCGTATCGCGTCGGCCCACGCGAATCTCAGCAGCCGCATCTGGGTCGACGATTTGCCACAAAGCATGGCCGGGGCCAGCAGGGCCATCAGGGAGCAGGTTGCAGCATGTTTGGCAGACGCCTGCAAGGAGATGGCGACGTGGAGCTTGGACGCATCCCCGAAGTCGGCCATCATTTGTTCGGTTCATTCGGACGCCGTGGGGATCTCGCGCCTCCTCAGGGTCAAGGGCCTCGCCGTCAAGGCTGTCCACCAGGCCCCTTTCTTGGGCGCGGGCCGAGGGGGGGGCAGTCGCCGTGCTCGTCGCAGTCGTCGTCAGAGAGCCGCCATGCATCAGAAGCTCCGCGACCGCCTCCTTCATTTCGCTCGGGCGTCGAGGCAGTATCGGGCCACGAGCAGGCCTCGAGCAGGCCAGCCCGCTAGCTGCGGTCTGCGATGGGCACCAGATCCACGGCGCATCTGGGCGGGCTCTGGACCCCTTTCGGCGTGCATCAGCATCGGCGGTATTCTTCAGTGGTGGACGCGGAGCTTGCAAGACGTCGGTTTTGACCATCCATGTTCCACGGGCAGACCTTGGCACCGAGCTTCCTCATGAATGGTTGGCCTTCGTTGCTGAAGCAATGGTTTCAGACACCCAGTATCCGAGCCGGTGCGCATAGGATTTGGGCGAACGCGGTGAAGCTACTCAGCTCCAAGCTCCCACCTCGCCGAGTACGTCATGCGCGGGGCCTCATGTCCGCTGTCATTCTATATATGTATATATATATATACTGGAAAGACGGTGGGATCCAGTTTCCCCCACTTTGCGGCTCATGCCCAACGACGTTGAGTGGCGTGTTCTTGAGTCGGGCTACTCGGACACCATGGCATTGCATTGTACTCATCAGTTCTTCCTGGGCGTCGATTTGGCGTCTGAGCAGCTAGTTCGGGGCAGGGGCAGCACAGCATGTCTGCGGCACTGGAGCGCAAGAAGGTGTCGACATCACTTCTCTTCGGCAGCCGGTTGTGCAGTTTGTGGCCACATACCGAGGACGCCGCCTTTTGCCTTTCTGAGCTTTTGGTTTCGATTGTGGCTGGTGGTAGTTGGCCGCGTGTGCGCAGAGCGGAGGCAGCCAGTCATGTCCAGGTGGACACTACGTGCCCTCGCTGTCGCAGCAAGCCCGAGCCCGCCTTCCACCGCATTTGGGAGTGCGAGGCCAACGCTGACCAAGCTGCGGCGGCAGCAGCGGCTAGGTATCGAGTCTCGGCCCACGCGCGGCATCGTCTGACGGAGGCAGAGCTCAAGGTATTCTGGGCCCGCACGAGGGCGATGCGTGCCACGCTGGATGCCCTGCAGGCGGAGGCTGCCTTGACCGCGCGCGCTGGCGGGCAGCGCCGTCGGCGGCGTGGGCCTCGGCCTCGGGGTGCGACCGAGGCGCCCTCGGGTGGCAACGGTGAGCCGTCTCCCTCTCCTCCTCCGCCGCCGCCAGTCCTGCCCCCTATGGCGCCTTGCGGCTTCTGTGTTTTCCACGGACCACCTCTTGGACGATTCGGGCCGGAAATGCCTGCATTGTCGGGGGTCCGCGTCCGTGTCCCTGGTTCGGGCCTGGAGGTCCACGGGGTGATTCAATGTTGTGCTTGTTGACGGTTCCCTGGGAGGTCTGCCTGAGGGCGCGAGGATGCACATTGCTGGGGGGTGGGCTCACCCCTCCCACAGCATGCGCTTGTATCTGACCCCCGGAATTTTCGTTATGCGCGTCCTGTGGGATGTTTGGGGGTCAGCAACTCCTTGGGCTAGTAAGGAGTGCCCTAAAACAATTTCCCCCACTCGTCGTGGGTATTTGAAACGTCTGGAGCGGGGGCTTTTACCCAAGGCCTACGGTAAGGCCGAGCTCGAGCGTACGGCTCATAAAAAGGGGTCCTCTTGAGGCCGTTTGTTTGATTTCGTCGTGGAAATCCTGAACTCCTGAATTCCTCCTCAGCCTCCTCCTCATCCTCCTCCTCCTCATCATCACCGTAGCATCGTCGTCATCATCATTGTCGTCATCATCGTGATCATCCCCTCTTCCTCCTCCCCTAGCCTCGCTCCTGCTGCTCCCCTCCGTGCGTCTCTTCCCCTCCGCAGCCGCTCTGGCACACCCGCGCGTTCGCCGCCGCACTCGCACACCTCTTCACACACGCAGGCGCGCACGGCCGCCGCGATCCGCCTGGGCCTCGTCGTGCGCAGATGTCGCCGCCAGCCGCGTTGCCTGCGCTGCTCGCGCTGGCCGCGCTGCGCCCCGCCGCATCCTCGGCTTCTGCCGGGTCGAAGCTCAAGGCCTTCCAGAGGAGAGAAAACACTCGCCATGAAGGACACGATTCCGGCGGAAAACGAGTCCTGAGGTTTTTCCCCGCTTCCGGGCTCTCGGGGCCCTCCACGGGCCTCGTGACGATCAGAGGACGACTCAGGATGAAGGGCTGGTACCAGGGGAAGCCCCCCGGGGTCCAGGACCCGCTCCCCTCGGGACCCGGATCTCCCATGCCGAAGACGCACCGACATCGAAGGTCGACGGTCTTCGAGCGTTGTTGGTGTGCTCTGAGCCTCCCGGGGCGCCCCCGCCGCCCCTGCCGGATGCGCTTCGAAAATCTAGCCAGAGCCCACCTTGGGACAAGCCTGGCAGGAGAGGATCGTGCTCCAGGCATGGGGCGGGGGATCGCGTGGGGTCAGGGATGAGCTGTCCTTCGCCAGGCCTCGCGGGGCTGTTTTTCCCACGAAGAGGTCGACAGGTTTTGGGACCCCGTTTGGGGAAAAAAGAAAACACACAAAAAACGCGACGTCGAGCGCCCAGGTGCAATACCGGAAGCACCCCGAGGGAAAGTCGACCAGGGATCTATCACGGGCATCGTGGCCCTCCCACGCCCACATCCAGCTAGAATCATATGCATTCGTATTTTGTCGCCGGGCCTCGCTCATATTTAGAAGCCCATACGCAGGGTCCCAGCTCGCCAGAAAAGAAGGCACATGTGGGGATATCTGCGTCGCATCATTACCTGTTTGTGCCCCCCTGGGGGGGGGGCCTCGTCGGCACGGCCAGGCTCGTTCCGAAATCCGTATCAGAGTGCACTTCTCAGGAGAGATCCAGGGAGCAGCGGCGTTCGTATCTTTCTGCTCTTCCAGGCCCCCTCCTTCAAGCAGTACATCAAGCTGCACGGGCGAGACTACGGCGAGCCCGGGAGCAAGGAGTACAGGATGCGCGCCGCGAATTACGTGCCCGTCGCCGAGGCCGTCGACAACCACAACGACGACCCCTCGCGGACCTGGACGGCCAGCGTGAACAAGTGGTCCGATTTCACGCAGGAGGAGCGCAAGGAGCTTTACGGCTGGCAGCACGACTATTCCGGCTCAGTTGGCGGTGGCCAGGTGGCTGGCGCTTCAGCGCTGAACTTGGCGGCGCGAGCGCAGACGAAGCTCCCCGCGTCATTTTCCTGGGGCCACCTGACCACGATGCAGTCAGTCAAGGAGCAGGGCTCCTGTGGGTCGTGCTGGGCAGCCTCCGCGGTGAAGGTTCTGGAAACCCACTACGAGATATACAAGAAGAAGGCCAAGAACTTCTCTGTGCAGCACCTCGTGTCGTGCGCCGAAAACACACAGCAATGCGGCGGCACGGGGGGGTGCGACGGTGCCACTTCGGACGTCGCATTCGAGTACATCATGCAGCACGGCATCCTCACAGAGGAGCAGTACCCCTACGCGGAGAAGAGCGAGGCGTGCCCAAGCGGCCTGTTGGCCGAGTCGACGCGGGCGGTTGACCTAGGCATGCTTGGTTGGGAGCGCCTCCCAGCGAATCTGTACGCACCCCTGAAGCACACCCTTGTGGAGCTTGGGCCAGTGGTCGTGTCGGTGGCCGCCGACAGTGGTGTCAATGGTTTCGGCATCGAGGTCTACGAAAGTGGCATCTACAACAGCTGCAATCGGAACCCGGTTTTGAACCACGCAATGGTCCTGTACGGCTACGGCCAGACGTTGCAGGTGTCAGGGCCCGTCGATTATTGGCAGTTGCAGAACTCTTGGGGGAAGAGTTGGGGCGAGGGCGGCACCATGCGCATGCTGCGAAAGGGCGAGAACGCCGCATGGGGGGAGGAGTTCTACTGCGGCGTCGACCACGACCCCCTCAAGGGGCCTGGATGCCCAGGCGGCCCCGCGTCCATCACGGTGTGCGGAACCTGCGGGATCCTCTACAAGGCCACGTATCCCGTCCTGCAGTGGAGGCCACCAGCGCCCTGGCAGCAGAAGGAAGCCGCCGCCCCAGAGCCCACGGCGGCCCAGCCAGACAAGACGAAGCGCAAGTTCATAATCAAAGACATCTGAGCCCCCGCGCCCAGATTGAGCGGATGCGGAAAGAAGGAACAGAAAATGGAGGAGGAGGAGAAGGAGAAGGAGGAGGGGGAGTAGGACCAGTGTAAACCCAGTGTAACCATTGGAACCCGCGAAACTCTTGGAAACTCTCACAATGTTATAAGAAGAATGTGCGCGGTGCAAGGGCGAGAGCCGATTCTTTTAAGGGAACCGCCCTCAATAGTTGAAAAGCTTTTGCAATGCTTTGCGACGAATGTCCGCGGCGAAACGGCAAGAGCCACATTTTGAAAACGGACCGCCCTCCATCCGTGAAGCTCTTGAGTTCATTTGAGAGGCATGAGCGCGGCGCTAGGGCGAGAGCCACATGTTGAAAACCACTTGTACTCAAGCCGTAAGTGACTATGCACGCGGCGCTAATGCGATATCTTTGTTTGCTCGAACGCGGCCCGCAATCAATGTGCGAAGCTGCTGCACATTTAAGACTTCCACATCATAAACGGCGATTGGGCCTCAGGCGAAACGCCCAGCCCGCCTTTCCGACTGGATTCGGGATGCGGCAGGAGGGAGGTACTCCCAATAGGTCTTTAGAAAAGCCCCACCAGTTGAAACTATGCTTCGGCCACCTTATTGATGGACTGGGGTCCCACCAATAGTTGAACATGAGTATTTATCTGCGGCACCCGCCGCACAACAACGACGACGACGACGACTACGATCACTACGACCACGATACGGCTACGGCTACGATCACGACTATTGAGCAATGTTTTCGGCGAAGAATGTGCCGATACATATGTTGCAATCCTTTCACACACGTGCTCAGTTTTGTTCCGTGCAGGGTAGTCCAGAGATCGTTATTCGTTGGGAGAAAGAAACCACCAATCTTATTCAGCGCAGCGAACATCAGTGGGAATATGATTCCCGCCGCGACGGCGACGACGATTACGATTACGATTACCACCACAACCACTGATTCACAATGCCATCCTATGAGAAGATGCTGTGACATCCTTCCGCGTGAAGGGTAGCCCACAATGGATGATTCCCTGGGAGAAAAAACAACCCGACATGATCTAGCCCGCCCAATAACAGAGGGACAATTATCTCTGCCACGAAAACGACCACGATGACGAGGAGGGGGGTGAGGAGGAGGAGCAGGAGGAGCTCGAGGAGGAGGAGGGGCGAGCCTGTTCCCCGCCGAGAGAAGCAGAAGGGGGGGGGGGGGGGCAAAAACTAAGACCGACTAAGGTCATTCAGAAGGTAAAGGAATGCAGCAGTAGGAGTAGTAGCGTAAGGCCAGCCAGCTCGAATGAGTCAGCGAGACCCGCCCACTCCTACCCTCCCGCCCATTACATTGGAATCGATGCTGTCATAATTCAGACATGGTACTGACGCTTGCTCCCACTACCGAACAGAAGGCGCGCGCGCGCGGCTCGCGTCTGGCGCCTTCTCGAAAAATTCCGTGCGCCACTCCCCAGCGGGAACGCCATGTTGGGGAACCCTTGAGCCTGTGAAGCGGATGCAGAGATCCGTTGGCGTGCACCCAGCCAGCCTTCTATCAATTTGGCGATCTGATAAACAAAAACGGCTTGCGCCGCGCACAAGCGTAAACGCAATTTTCAACATATACATGCGCGGCGCTTGCGCGGTAGCTGCATTTCGCTCTCCCGGGCGCGGCCCCACCTCCAATTATTTGGCGGACAAGATAAGATTTTAGGAGGAACGACGCGTCGCGCAGCGTTGAGGCGAGAGCGACATTTCACCCACTGTTGCTTCGCGCCCCACTGTTGCCATTCGTTTCATTGCAACGTCGGCGACCAAACGTCCATACACGGAGGCGAAGCGTCGTCTCTGTAGTTTCAAAGGGCACATTTCGAGCCGCTAGCAGGGCGAGAGGGAGAGGTGTGGGAGCACATACGACTAAGGCACAAAAGTGAGGAGGTGGCGCAGGAGGAGGAGGGGTGGGGAAGAATGGGGGGGAGAGGTGGACGGAAGTGGAGAGCAGGAGGGGGGAGAGGGCGATGAGAGGGCGCAGCAGCACCAGCAAGAGAGGCGACGACGGAGGAGTGGGGGGCAGGAGAAGAGGGAGGGATCCGGAGCAGGAGGAAGAGGAAAAGGAGCTTGACGCAAAGAAGGACGTCCGCAATCCAGGATTCCCACTTATGCTTCATAGCATCGGCCACGCAGCGAATTCGGAACACCGTCGCTGGCAGCGAATTCGGGATACCGCTGTTGTTCTGGGGTCGAGGCTGAATAAAGAGCGTCCCCTCCTCCATCTCCTCGCCCTCTCCTGCTCTGATCCTTCTTCTCCTCCTCCTCCTCGTCCTCCTCCTCCTTGTCCTCCTCGCCCACTCCCCCCTCCCCGCTCTCCCTGCTTCCCCACCTCCATGCTTAACCTACTGGCTTCCAGCCAAGCGCAATCTCTGCATCCTCCCCTTCCTCCGGAACCTACGGAGCCGCCTCCATTTCGATCCCCTAATCCTCTTCCTCCTCATCCTCCTTCTCCTCCTCCTCCTCCGCCTTCTTCTCCCTCGTCCTCCCTTCTCCTCCTCGTGCTCTTCCTCCTCCACACCATTATCATCATCACCACCATCACCATCATCAGCAGCAGCATCACCAGCATCACCAGCATCACCAGCATCATCATCATCATCATCATCATCATCATCATCATCATCATCATCATCATCATCATCATCATCATCATCATTATCATCATCATCATCATCATCATACTCATCATCATCATCAGCAGCAGCACCATTCTCATCATGGTCATCATCATCATCATCATCATCATCATCATCAGCATCATCATCATCAACATCAACAACATCATCATCATCATCATCATCGCCATCATCACCAGCATCGCCATTATTGTCAGCATCGGCATCATCACCATCACCATCACCATCCTTATCAACAGCAGCATTAGTATCGTCATCATCATCACCACCAGCATCAGTATCATCGTCGGCATCAGCATCGGTATCATCATCATCATCATCATCATCATCATCATCATCATCATCATCATCATCATCATCATCATCATCATCATCATCATCATCATCATCACCATCATCATCATCAGCATCATCATCATCAGCATCATCATAATCATCATCTCTTCGTCGTCATCATCCTATTGTAGAGGCCTATCCGGGACCCAACGGGGTGCTCCGTGCGAGCTCGTCATGTTCAATAGTCTGTGAGGTTGACCTTGAGGAGGCAGGAGGGAGGATGAGAAAGGAGGAGGGGGAGGGGGAGGAGGGGGAAAGAGAAGAGGAGGAGGAGGAGGAGGAGGAGGAGGCGGCGGGGAAGGAGGGTGTTAGCAGTCGCCATAGGCAGTATGTGCTGAATGGAATGGTTGCGTCGTGTCCGCCTGTCGAGCTTGTTGGCGGGCTAGTTCCCTGACGGGTTGGCTCGTTGGTGTGTCGTAGGGAGACTCGTAGCGTGAATAGTTCATTGTACGTTGTTCCTTCCTGTCATCTCTATCTTCTCTTATTTGGTGGCCTTCGTCCCATCCTGCTACCGTGCCTGGGTTCTAGATCCGAGGCTTTTTTGAAGGTTCGTCGGGATCTCGTGGGAAGCTTCTCGGGGGCCTCTTGGAGGCAGTTGTGAAGCCTCTAGGGGCCGTTTGGGAGCCTCTTTTTGGCATCTCGGGAGCCTCTTGTGGCCTCTTGGGTGCCTTTTGGGAGCCCCTTGAGGCCTCTCGAGGCCCCCTGGGCTTCCGTGGCGTCTAGGCGGAAGGCTCGAATGGTCGGTTCATGTTCCCCCTCTTGGAGCCGTTTTGGGGCCTTCGTTGGCCGTCTTGGGCGCCTCTTGGGCTGTCTCCAGGCCGTCTTGGAGCCGTCTTTGCGGCCTCGTGCGTTGTCTTGGGGCGGTCTTGGGGGGCTCTTGGGCGTCTTAGAGCATCGGGAGCTCTCAAAGGCGAGAACCTCAAGAACATAGAAAAACCAACGGGAAATCAATGATGTGTGCGTCTTGGGGCCATCTTGGGGGTCCTCTTGAAGCGCTATATGGGCCTCTTGGGGGCCTCTTTGTTTGTCTTTGGGCCACCTTGGGCGTGTAGGAGCTCTCTTGCCTTGGGCAGTGCAGGCGGCATTGGCGGCGGTGCCGCCCCCCCTCCGCCCTCCCCCCGTTCCCCAGCCCCGCACCTTTCCTCGTGCGGCGCGGGAGCGGCCCCGGAAATAAGAAGACCCTCTCCCCCCTTTCCCTGGCAGATCCATCCCGCCAGCCCCCCCCCCCGAGCAGAGCTGAAGCTCAGCTTGCAGCTTTTTTGAACTCACACGCCGGATCGGCGGATTTCGGAGCCTTCAGGGCCTCTGGGGCCCCCTCTCTGTCCTATCCCCTCCTCTTCATCCTCCTCATCCTCCTCTTCCTCCTCCTCATCCTCCTCCTCTTCCTTCTCTTTCTCCCCCTCCTCGTCACTTGTCCTCCTCCCCCTCCTCCTCCTCCTCTTTCTCCTTCCTCCTCCTCCTCTTCCTCCTCCTGTAGGGGCGGACGGGGCCGGGCGCCTCAAGTGGCGGAGCCTCTCTGTAGGGGCCGGTGACGGGCGCCCAGGTTGACCGTCGGACGCGGCGGTTGCTGGCCTGTCTTTCGTCGCCAATGCTGGATCCGCTTTTTTTCTGGCATGGGCCCGTGGGGCTGATGGCCTTGACCTCTCGTCGCCTCTGCTGGTTTCGTCTCGTTTTGGCCTCTGGGCCGGTTTTCCGCTCGTTGCGGGTCGCCGTTGCCGGGCGTTGCTCGAAAAACTTGAATTTCCGCCGAGCCGTGGGCTGGTGCGGTGGTGTGGGCTACCTGCCATGGTTCTTGCTGGCCTCTGACGGCAGGAGTCGTAGCGGGCAGTCTGCCAGTAGTTTGTGATGGGATTGGCTCGGCACCGCTGGAGGATGGCATTGGCTAGCCTCGTGCTCGGCCTGTGCGCCAGGGGGTAAAGACTTGCCCCGCATCATCAGAGTCCTGAGGGTCCTCCTCCTCCTCCTCCTCCTCCTCCTCCTCCTCCTCCTGCTCCTTCTCCTCCTCCTCCTCCTCCTCCTCCTCCTCCTCCTTCTTATCCTCGTCCTCCTCCTCCTCCTCCTCATCATCCTCCTCCTCCTCCTCCTCCTCGTCCCCCTCCTTATCCTCCTCCTCCTCCTCGTCGTCGTCCTCCTCCTCCTCTTCCACCTCCTCCTCCTCCTCCTCCTCCTCCTAACACGCCTCCTTCTCCTTCTCCTCCTCCTCATCCACCTCCTCCGCCTCCTTATAAGCAACTTTTCTTCTCCCCGTCGCAACCCGAAGCTTGTCGAAAGGGCGGGCCGGGCGCTTCGCCTGATACTCCTCACCATTAACGGCCTTGCAGCTTAGATACTGGCAGCAGCTTCACAGATGGAGGGCGGGTGGTTTTCAAAATGTGGTTTTCACCTCTGTGCCGTGCACATTCGTTTTAAATGTGTGCAAGAGCTTCACGGATGGAGGGCGGCCCGTTTTTAACATGTGGCTTGCCTAAGCGCCGCGCACATTCGTATTAAAGCATTTGCAAGAGCTTCACGGATTGAGGGCAGGTTGCTTTCAACATGTGGCTCTTGCAAGAGCACCGCGCACATTCGTCTTAAACAACTGCAAGAGTTCTATTGACTCCCATGGCCAACGTGCCAGAATTGCGTGTTGGAAGGACTCAGGATTGTGAGGGAGCAACAGTTACGTTGATTCGCTGTGTTGAGATCCCAGGAGTGGTGTCCTGTTACGGCTCAGGATCGTCAAGACGAAACAGTCACGTTGACTCGTGGCGCTGGAGTTCGAGATCGGTGTTTTGGCACGCTTCAGGGTCTTCAAACGGTTCTCTCCCAACAAGACACTTCCCTCATCGGAAACAAGCGGCACGCGTGCTCTGGCTCTTGCACATCTGAGGAGAGAAGGAGGAGGAGGCGCAGGTGGGGGATCGAGGAAACAAGGAGGAGGAGGAGGAGGAGGAGGAGGAGGAGGAGGAGAAGGGGCCGGTGGGCCAGGGCGCCCCAGTGCTGAATCAGCGGTTGCCGAGTGGGACCTGCTCGAATGAGTTTTTGTTGCCAGCTGAGGCGCGATAGATTTCCGAGGCTGGGCCAAGTGGGGAGGCTGGGTCCAGGGACAGGGCCAGCGGGGCGAGGGGGGCTAGGGCAACGACCAGAGGGGTAGGCTGGGTCCAGTGCCAGGACCAGGGGGGCGAGGGCGGCTGGGGCCAGGTCAGGGAGGGAGGCTGGCTCCAGGGCCAGGACCAGGACTAGGGTGACGATGACGAACGAAATTAATGGGTCCAGCGCGAGGGGGGCTGGGTCCAGGGCCAAGGCCAGGGGTACGACGACGAGCGAAAAGGAAGGGTCCAGGGAGAGGGGGGCTGGGGCCAGGGCCAGGGGAGGACGCTGGGTCCAAGGACAGGACCAGGGTGGCGACGACGAGGGGGTCTGGGTCGAGGACAAGGGTGAAGGCTGGGCCGAGGGCCAGGACCAGGGGGACGACGACAAACGAAAAGAAAGGGTTCGGGGCGAGGGGGGTTGGGGCCAGGGCCAGGAGAGGAGGCTGGGTCCGGGGCCAGGTGCCTTGCCGAAATAAAGCTGTCGGGGCGGAGGGGCTGCGCTGGCTGGTGGGACCAGCGCCGAGGGGGCGCTCTAGCTGGCGGGCTGGCTGCGCTGGCTGGTGGGGGAGGGATGAGTAGGGCGCGGGGGCTGCTTCGGCATGGCTGCTTTAGAAGGTGGATGCGGAGGGGGCGCGCTGTGAGGCGCGGGCCGAGGGGCTGCATCGACCGGTGCCGTGCCGAAATAAAGTCGTCGGAGCTCTAGACACCCTGTGAAAGAGAATAAAGGGTCGGGGCGGAGAGGGCGAGCTGGCTGGTGTGTGGGGGGGGGATGCGGAGGGGGCGTGCGGGATGTGGGGGGAGGCTGCCGTGCCGAAATGAAAGAATCGGGGCGGAGGGGGCGCGCTGGCTGGTGGGGGGGATACGGAGGGGGCGCGTGGGAGGGGGGGACCGTGCCGAAATAAAAAGGTACGGGCGGAGGGGGGGCGCTGGCTGGTGGTGGGGGGGATGCGGAGGGGCGCGTGTGACGTGGGGGAGTGCCGGCCGGAGTGAAGGGTCGGGGCGCAGGAGGCGCGCTGGCTGGGGGAGGGGCGGGAGGGGGGGGGGGGGCGCGCGGGGGGGGGGGTTGCCGTGCCGAAAAAAAGGGTCGGGGGGGAGGGGGGGGCGCGCGGGGATGGGGGTGGCGCCGTGCCGAAAAATAAAAGGGTCGGGGTGGAGGGGCGCGCTGGCTGGTGGGTGGAGGGATCCGGAGGGGGCGCGTGGGATGGGGGGGGGGCCGTCGAAATAAAAGGGTCGGGGCGGAGGGGGCGCGCGGGCGCGCTGGCTGGTGGGCGGGGGATGGTGGCGTGGGTGGGTGGGGGGGGGCGTGCCGAAATGAAAGGGTCGGGGCGGAGGGGGCGCGCTGGCTGGTGGGTGGGTGGGGGTGCGGAGGGGGCGCGTGGGATGGGGAAGGGTGCCGTGCCGAAACAAAAGAGTCGGGCGCGCTGGCTGGTGGGTGGGGGATGCGGAGGGGGCGCGCGGGATGGGGTGGCCGTGCCGAAATATAAGGGTCGGGGCGGAGGGGGCGAGCGGGATTGGGGGGGTGCCATGCCGAAATGAAAGGGTCGGGGCGGAGGGGGCGCGCTGGCTTGTGGGTGGGGGGATGGTAGTCTGGGTGGGTGGGGAGGGGGGGGGCCGTGCCGAAATAAAAGGGTCGGGGCGGAGGGGGCGCGTTTGCTGGTGGGTGGGGGGATGGTGGTCCTGGTGACGGGGGGGGGGCGTGCCGAAATGAAAGTGTCGGGGCGGAGGGGGCGCGTGGGATGGGGGGGGGCCGTGCTGAAATGAAAGGGTCGGGGCGGAGGGGGCGCGCTGGCTGGAGGGTGGGGGGGGGGGGGGCGCGGAGGGGGCGCGTGGGATGGGGGGGGGCGTGCCGAAATGAAAGGGTCGGGGCGGAGGGGGCGCGCTGGCCCGTGGGTGGGGGGATGGGGGCGCGCTGGGGTCGCGCTGGCTGGTGGAATGGGTGGGCGATGGAGTGGGTGCCGTTCCGAAATATAGTGGTCGGAGCTCTAGACACCCTGTGCAAGATGATAAACCCTCGCGGGGGCCTATGAAGAGAGAGCTCGGAGGGAGGGTTTATTCCAACATCGTTGATGAGTCTTGGGTTTCCACTGGTCCTCCTCTTCTCCTCCTCCTCTCCTCCTCCTCCTCCTCCTCCTCCTTCTCCTCCTCCTCCTCCTCCTCTTGCTCCTCATCCTCCTCCTGCTCCTCCTCAACCTCCTCCTCCTCCTCCTCCTCCTCCTCCTCCTCCCCACGCCCTCTAACTGATACCTCCTTCCTGTTTCTGACGCGGCTGGCTCCGAACCCCCTGGGAAACTACCGTGGCGGTGACCTCTCACAGAGGGAGGGGTGCTGTGCATTCGCCCCCGCATCCCGCCCGCGCTCGTTGGCAGACGCCGCCCTGGTTCTACTCGAGCGTTGCGCAATGGGGGGCGATACGAGAGGGGGGAGGGAGCGAGGTTTGTAGGGCAGGGGCCCCGAAGGTGCACGAAAGGATGGCGTTCTGGCACGATTCCAGATCGTCAGGACGCAGCAGCCAGTTTGATCCGTGGCGTGGAATTCCCGCGGACAATGTGTTGGCATGCTTCAAGGTGTTCAAACGGTTGTCTTCCAACGAGACAGTTCCCTCAATGGAAATGAGCCGTTGTAGAGGGAGCTTGGAGGGAGGGATAATTCCAACATCGTTGATGAGTCTTGGGTTTCCACTGGTCCTCCTCCTCCTCCTCCTCCTCCTCCTCCTCCTCCTCCTCCGCCTCCCCCCCCTCTTCGACGGATGGAGCCTTGCTCAATTGCAGAGTTGAGCTCTCGCTTGTCACTTATCTTGAGTTTCTCATCCAACATAGCTAAGCGGAAGGTCGCAGGGCAGTTTCCCCATCTCCGCCTCCCAAGCCTCGTCCGTTGCCCTCCCCATGCGGTCAGCAGCGTTTCCCCCCCTCACCCTCCACAGCCGCTGCTGTGCACGGCCCGGCGCAGCCACCGCTCCACTGCGCATTTCACCCACTACTACACTGCACGTTTGCAGCCCGTAGTCGGGCCTCCCACCCAGATGGCGCCTCTCACGCTGCCCACGGCGGTTGCGCTGGCCGTGCTGCGCCCCGCCGCGTCGCTCGCCTCCGACGGATCTAGGCTCAGGGCCCCCTCCTTCAAGCAGTACATCAAGCTGCACGGGCGAGACTACGGCGAGCCCGGGAGCAAGGAGTACAGGATGCGCGCCGCGAATTACGTGCCCGTCGCCGAGGCCATCGACAGCCACAACGACGACCCCTCGCGGACCTGGACGGCCAGCGTGAACAAGTGGTCCGATTTCACGCAGGAGGAGCGCAAGGAGCTTTACGGCTGGCAGCACGACTATTCCGGCTCAGTTGGCGGTGGCCAGGTGGCTGGCGCTTCAGCGCTGAACTTGGCGGCGCGAGCGCAGACGAAGCTCCCCGCGTCATTTTCCTGGGGCCACCTGACCACGATGCAGTCAGTCAAGGAGCAGGGCTCCTGTGGGTCGTGCTGGGCAGCCTCCGCGGTGAAGGTTCTGGAGGCCCACTACGAGATATACAAGAAGAAGGCCAAGAACTTCTCTGTGCAGCACCTCGTGTCGTGCGCCGAAAACACACAGCAATGCGGCGGCACGGGGGGGTGCGACGGTGCCACTTCGGACGTCGCATTCGAGTACATCATGCAGCACGGCATCCTCACAGAGGAGCAGTACCCCTACGCGGAGAAGAGCGAGGCGTGCCCAAGCGGCCTGTTGGCCGAGTCGACGCGGGCGGTTGACCTAGGCATGCTTGGTTGGGAGCGCCTCCCAGCGAATCTGTACGCACCCCTGAAGCACACCCTTGTGGAGCTTGGGCCAGTGGTCGTGTCGGTGGCCGCCGACAGTGGTGTCAATGGTTTCGGCATCGAGGTCTACGAAAGTGGCATCTACAACAGCTGCAATCGGAACCCGGTTTTGAACCACGCAATGGTCCTGTACGGCTACGGCCAGACGTTGCAGGTGTCAGGGCCCGTCGATTATTGGCAGTTGCAGAACTCTTGGGGGAAGAGTTGGGGCGAGGGCGGCACCATGCGCATGCTGAGAAAAGGCGAGAACGCCGCATGGGGGGAGGAGTTCTACTGCGGCGTCGACCACGACCCCCTCAAGGGGCCTGGATGCCCAGGCGGCCCCGCGTCCATCACGGTGTGCGGAACCTGCGGGATCCTCTACAAGGCCACGTATCCCGTCCTGCAGTGGAGGCCACCAGCGCCCTGGCAGCAGAAGGAAGCCGCCGCCCCAGAGCCCACGGCGGCCCAGCCAGACAAGACGAAGCGCAAGTTCATAATCAAAGACATCTGAGCCCCCGCGCCACATTGAGCGGATGCGGAGAAACGGCCACGACGGCGAGGACGACGATTACGACAACGACGAAGTCGACCGATGATGTAGCCAGGGCAACGTTCGGGGGGATTGGCTCAGGGGTGGATGCATCGACCCCCGATCGCCCATTGATCGCCCACACTGCCAAGGAGCGTGCGGATTCGCTACGCATCGGGGGCCCATTGCCGATCTATCTGCGATGGACCGGCGATTCCAGCTCGATGATTCCACCCCTGAGCCGGTCTCCACCCAAACATTGCCCCCCAGTTCCGGCCGTGACGTGCAACATTGCAAAAACACGCGACGGCCGTTGTTGTTCCAGGATCTCGGCTTCGTGTGTTCTCGGGTCTTAAGCTCTGGGGTCCGCGGTGGCCACGCTTGGGTTCGTTTCGGTATTCTCGTCGGGGCGCTCTCTGGGACAGGCCCACGGGTCCAGCTTGAGGACCAGGGCGTTCTGTTTGCCTTGTCTGCTGGGGTGACCGCGGGGGTTTCTAATCTGGCAGGGGGGTTACAAGTGGATGCTAAGGTGGCTTATTATCTGGCGTAAACCAGCCTACCAATTGGCTACAGGTGCTCTGGGTGGCTTGAGTCGATTCGACAACTCCGCTAAGTGGGCGCAGCCCACTTTGTCCAGATCCTAAGCCACCTAGGGCATCTAGAAGCTATGTCAGGCCATGTGCAAGCCTCCTCAGCATCCCACGTATAGCCCCCTAGCCACTAAGCAAGCTCCGCGGTCATCCAAGTGGGCGTCCAGCGGCGGCGGCGGCCTCCGGCCGAGGCACTCGGGTCTGGCGGCCTGCTGGAGCTGGTGCGGCGTGCGGCGCGGAGCGAGGGGCGCGGGCTGGCGCAGGAGAGCGGGGCCTCCTCGCCGCCAACGCCTCTCGTGCCGCGGCCGTCGCCGCCGCGGCCGTCGCCGCTTCGCCGCGCGGCCTGGTCGTCGTCGTCATCGTCGTCGTCGTTGTCGTCGTCGACGCCGTCGTCGTCGTCGCCGATCGTTGGCCGCAGCCGCGGCTGCCGCGGACTTGCCAGCCCTCCCCGTCTCATGATATTTCGCATGCTGCTCCTCACCCACTTCATCGATTCCTCGTCTTGCTCTTCTTCCTCCTGCTCTTGGCTCCCCCTTCATCCGACGTCCCTCGTCATCCATCTCCCCTCCTCTCTTCCTGCTCCCCTCACCCACTTCCCCCTGCCCCGCTACTTGGATTCTACTCGTGGCCGTCGTCGTCGCCGTCGTCGCCGCCCGTGCCGTCGCCGATGTCGCCATGAAGGACCCCGCGTGTTCCCCATCGTCCCCATCGTCGCCGCATCGCCGCCGCATCGCCGCCGCCTGCGGCGGCGGAGCGAGGGGCGCGAGCGCTGGCATGGGTGCGTCCGCGCGTACCGCTGCCGCCGCCGCTGCCTCAGACTTCCAGGTGTCGCCAAAAGAAAACCGCGACCGCTGGTTGTTGCTCCTCCATGGCGGCCGTGACAGGCCTCCTGGGTCCTTCTCGTCGCCACCGCCCGCCAAACTCTGGCCAGGACAGATCCCTGGACAGGCCCAGGGGTCGACTTGAAAGGTCTGGGGCCCAGACCTCGGGGGTCAACTCGAGGCGGCCAGTGTTCCCTAAGGCCTGGCCTCTGGAGGCCCACTTCGCACCCCAGGACCCTCAAAAGAACGACGCTGGGGATGGGATCGAGAGTTGCGCGGCCTCCGCTCTTCGACAAAAAAGCTACGTTTGAGAACATCGGGGACCGAGACGCAACCGCAACGTTGCTCAGCCTGTGCGTCCCAGGTCACCCCCACAGGGGCGCGAAAGCGATCGAGCTTGGCGTTTCACGGTCCCCTTCGCCCCGGACCTATTTGCCTCGGACCGCTTCGCCCCAGACCGCCCCGCCCCGCCCGCCGGACCGCCCGTTAGGGTCTTCCCGCCCAGCCGCTTGCTTGCACTGCCGCCCGCCCGCTCCACTGTCGTGCCCGCCCGACCCGCCGTCTGGGTCCGACTGCCCGACTGGCATGTCAGGGTCCGACTGTTGCGGGCCCGCCGACGACGCGGTCCGCCGGCGAAGCGGTCTCGCGCCCCCCAAGGGTGCCGCGCGAGGGTGTGAAGACAGTCGAGGTTCGCATTTCGCAAAGCGCGAGGCACGATGATGCGATGACAGGCTGGACAGATGTTTGCGAGATTCGCCTCGAGCCGGTGGGCGACAGACCAGAGTCGCTCGGTCCTCCCCAGGCTCCTCCTCCTCCTCCATTCAATCCTCCTCCTTCTCCTCCTTCTCCTACCTGTTCTTCCACCCCTTTTCCTTATACATAACTCTTCCCTGTCCTACCCCGAGACGTGTCGGTAGGGCGGGCCGGGAGTTCCGCTTGAGACTTCTACACCGTGTACGTATGCTTGAGCATAAAATCTGCGACAGGTTCACGGATTCGAGGGCGGTTCTTTTTCAACATGTGGTTCTCGCCTTAGCGCCGCGCATATTCGTTTGAAAAGTTTGCAAGTGTCTCACGGATGAAAGGGGGGTCGTTTCCAAATGGTGGTTCTCTCTCCAGCGTTGTTCACATTCGTTTTTAAAGTTTGTAAGGCCTTCGCGGATGGAGGACGGGCCGTTTGTGCCTCCTGTTTTGAGCGCCGTGCACGTTCGTCTTAAACGTTTGCATGAGTTTCACGGGTGAAGGGTGTCTCTTTTTCAAAATGTGGTTCTCACCCCAGCGCCGCGCATATTCGGATTAAAATTCGGCGGAGCTTCACAGACAGAGGGCGGGTGGTCTTCAAAATGCGGTTCTCGCTTTAGCGACACGTGCAATTCTTTCAACAGCTTGCAAGAGCTTCACGGATAGATGGCGGCCCGCATTCAAAATGTATTGGTCGCCTTAGCGCCGTGCACATTCGTCTTGGAAGCCTGCAAGGGCTTCACGGATTAATCTGGTTGACGTTACAGGAATGGTTTTCTTGCGCGGTCTACGATTGTCAGGGTGCAGCAGTCACGTTGATTCGCGGTGTTGAAGTCCCAGGAATCGTTGTTTCTTGGCACGATGCAGGGTCGTCAGGACGCAACAGTAAATTTGATTCGCGGCGTTAGCGTCCAAGGAGTGGTGTTTTGGCCCGATTGGGGTTTATCGGACGTTTGTCTTCCAACGGCGCACTGCCAGCAGTGGATATTATTGCGCGGGCCTTACGGCCTGTGCCGCCGACCCTGGAGGCATCGGCTCTCTACGGCAAAGGGGGGGAGAGGGGGGGGGGAGGAAAGGGAGCCCCCCCGCTACCCACCCCGGGACCCCTCGGGACCCCCCCCCTTGGCGGGGAAGGGAAAAAAGGGAAGGGGCTTCTCTTTGACTCAGAGGCGACGTTGTTCCGTTTCGGTTTGTACCGACACGCTTCAGGAAAAGGTTGTAGGACAGGAGAGAAAGCGACGGGCGCAGTGGAGGAGAAGGCTGTATGGGAAGGGACAGAAGCGACGCCGGGAGGGCGGCGTATCTGACCCAGGACCCCCCCCGGGACCACCCTCGGGACCCCCCCCCCCTGGCGGGGAAGGGAAGAAAGGGAAGGGGCTTCCCTGTGACTCAGAGGCGACGTTGTTCCGTTTCGGTTTGTACCGACACGTTTCAGGAAAAGGTTGTAGGACAGGAGAGAAGCGACGGGCGCAGTGGAGGAGAAGGCTGTAGGGAAGGGACCGAAGCGACGCCGGGAGGGCGGCGTATCTGACCCAGGACCCCCCCCGGGACCACCCCCAGGACCCCCCCCCCCTGGCGGGGAAGGGAAGAAAGGGAAGGGGCTTCCCTTTGACTCAGAGGCGACGTTGTTCCGTTTCGGTTTGTACCAACACGCTTCAGGAAAAGGTTGTAGGACAGGAGAGAAAGCGACGGGCGCAGTGGAGGAGAAGGCTGTATGGGAAGGGACAGAAGCGACGACGCTGCAGGGAAACGGGAAAAAGGAACGACGAGGAAGATAGGGCAAACAACAAAGCCTCTTCCACACGCCGACAGGGTCGGCGGATTTCGCACAAGGACCTAGGAAGAGGGAACTTGGAGGGAGGGTTCATTACAACGCCGTTGATGCGTTTTGGGTTTGCACTGGCCCTGTTGCTCCTCCCAACCTCCTCCTCGCCTCCTCCTCATCCTCCGTAGCCAACTCATTCTCATCCTCCCCGCAAAATCCTTCAGCGCAGTTTCGCTGCCAAGCGACGCGCGTTCACTCGTGGCGAATGGTGGCGGTGGTCGCCCTCTCGTCCACCCACGCTGCCCAGCCATTCACTGAGACTCACTGGCAGGCGAGCGCCAGCGCAAGCCGGCGCTGTCAGAGAAGACTGACTGTTCGAGAAGCGCGTCGCTTCCATCACGGCACGCGAGCCGTTGCGGCACTCGTCGCGCCGGCTTGCTTGGCGGCATCGAGGCGCGGCGGTTGCGGAGGCCAGCGTACGCGTGGCACTTGGAAGGAGCGAGGCGTGCAGAGGAAGACGTCCTGGCCGGTCTTGCGCGCAGGGCTGAACGATGCTGGGGTAGACGATCAGCCGACGTCCAACTTGCTGGTGCACCAGATCTTCTTGGACGTTGGCCTCGGAAGCATCGAGGACAGACCGGCCTTCGTCACCAACATGGAGCGAGTCCGGCAACTGCACCCGCGACATAGGCTCTGGCGAGACCGAGATGTAGACGAGTTGGTCGACGCGCACTACCCGCAGCACCGCGAGGTCATACAATCATTTCCGAATCGTTTTTTCTTGGTTGACTTCGCTCGATATCTGATATTGGACAAGTATGGTGGAGTGTACATGGATCTGGACGAGACTTTACTGCGACCGCTTCCCGAGTGCGATGTGATATTGGGCAAAGCAAAAGTTCCGAAAGGCCAGGTGCTCAACAATAACGTCCTGAAATTACCTTCGGAGCTTTATTCGCACCTTACAGAGTACTCAATCTCAGAGTTCCACCGATGCGTGTGTGACGGCCTGACCGGAGCCAGACTCTTCATCAATTCGGTGAGCGCTGCCATGGTTGGCCGCTTTGTTCGGCAGCACTCTCTCAGGAGCAGCATAGATTACGACGACTACTTTGAGACCGACCACGCGCAGAGCTGGGTTCAGTTGATGGACTAGCTCGGGTGGGATTCACTCCTATGTATCGTGGACGACCTGGCAAGCGCGGCCACATTGTGTTCTCACCCTTGAGCTGTGCATTTGGACAGCAGGCTGCACACCACCATGCAGACGAAGCGCGCGAGTGTTCGCTGTTGTAGCTGCCAGGCTCACTTTCGCCCGCGCTCCGCTCCACAGCGGAGTCGTTTCGTGACGCTCGTGCGAATGTTTAGGCACCGCTTCTGAGCTTCGGGCTTCCAGTTCGAGAGTTCTTTTTTGGTAGTTGCCGCAGCACCAAGGACAATCGTTTTGCGCACTACTCTCGCCTCGCTGCACGGAGGGGCCCAACAGAGGCAGATCAGCTGAGCTTGCCTCCTCCTCATCCTACTCCTTGGTACCTGGCACCTGATGGCATAAGAGATCTCCGATCGATGCCAACGCCCCCCCCCGCCCCAGCCATCTGGTGTATGAGGGGGGACACTATTGGATAACGGCACGCATGGCCGATGGGGGGTCCGGCGAGCGGGACGAGAAGGCGACGACACGAAGAGGGACCGAAGAGGGAGGCGAGCGGAGGGACCAAGAGAGACGCGACGGAGGGTCGCGGTTCCGGCGGCGCGCGGAGCCTTCAGGGTGGACCACCACAGGAGGGGCGGGGGGCGGGCAGGCCGAGGGGCCGCCGGGGGGGGAGCCAGTTAGTGATCCGCGGAGGGGGAATCCCAAAGGCCCCCTCCCCTTCCCCCGCTGCACGCTGCCCAACCTTCTCTCCTTCCTCCTCCTCCTCCTCCTCCTCCTCCGGCCCCTCAGGGCCG